TCCTCCATAGCAAAAATATTATAGAATAAACATACAGAGTTGAGAAAAAGACCTTAATACCATTGTTCCTTTGCAAATCTGCGCACAGAACCAACCCCTTAACTCTTAAATGCTAAGTTGCAAAAAATTAAATGACTAGAAGAGGATAGTTGGGAGTGGAGTAGATCTGCACAAGAAGCTAAGTGTGAGGAATGAGGGGCAAGCAGTAAAAATGAAAGTCAAACCTTTTGAACAGACTACTCAAGTCTTTGGATCCTTTTGTGCATAGCCTGAGGTTGATCATATTATTCTTTCCATGGAAGGAAAAACCGATAATGGCAGCAGACTGTAAAAGAGAGGCCAGTTTGGGAACATTTTAAGGAAGTTTTTCTACCTAAGGATAAGACAGGCATGCGTGCAAATTATGCAGAAAGTCATGATTTAAAATCACTAGTCAGTAAGACTAGATTTAAAGTTAAACAATCTGATTTAAATCAAATCCACCCTGGAGGAACAATATACTTTACTATAAACATAAACAGTTTCCATTAATTTATCAGATGAGTGATAAAATAGTTTTCAAGCTATACAATCTGTATACTTAAATATATAAGTCTGGCTATAAAATACAAGAATGCCTGAACATTGAATTTTCCAGCTTTGAGGCATTTAGTTTAATGAGTCTTACTACATTTACTTTAATAAAGTTTTCTCCAGCTTAAGACTGGAGATAAAACTGCCATAAGATGTAATTATCAAACTCTTCACTTCAATCATAGGATCTTCACATTGAACTGAGCTTAATCTTTGCAAAAATTTTAAATCAGTACAACACACTTTTTTAAAAAATAGCAGCACACAAACTAGTTTACAAAGTAAACATCTCATCTCAAAGTCTTATTCAATTTTAAAGGGTATTGTTTAGAAAATGCATGAAGTGGTCCCAAATAAGACTGACTTGAATTGACGTGATCTTGCTGATTTGAATAAAGCTACCTGCACAATCAACTGCAGGGTGGGTACCAACAGAGTTCCCCCAAATCTACACCAGAGCAGTATGGTGGGCTGCTAGGAACCACTATTTATGATTATGTACATTCCCCCCACCCTCTTTTAAGGAATCCAAGGTGGATTACAAGACTGTTCTCATCTTCATTTTACCCTCATTTTACCATCAACAACCCTATAAGGCAGGTTGGGCTGAACGTTTGTGACTTTCCTAAAGTCTCTCAATAAGTCTCATGGCTGTGGGGTCTAGAACCCAGATCCACTTAATCCCAGTCCAGTACTTCTAACCACTACAGCCCACCACCATAATGAGTGGAAAGACCCTTCAAGAAGTGTACCCAGCACACTGCTGAGGTGCCATATACCATATAACCTCCAGTAAACAAACAAACAAACAAAAAACATGAAATTATATCTTTATTCTTTAACAAACTTAGATGGAACAGCATGATAATCATCCACACATTTACCAATTTTGCTTTTCCTGAGTACTGCTAAAGAATCAAACTGGCAAGTTTGGTAGGGCAGGAGAGGGTTTATCAATTGCTTGGAGTTGGGGGGTGGGGAATAGAGGAATAAACCAATCCCTGAAATTAAAGAGCCTAGAGACAAATGGGAAAAGCATTTTCAGCTATCACATTGCCTTGAGCACAAGAGAAAGACCTGAGTCTCAGAAAAGCCTGTTATCATCATTTGCCCCCTCAAAGGTTGGTGAGCTTGAGATGGCAGGAAGACTTAAATGTTAACATACCAGCTGATGCACAATTTAGGAGAGGAATCAGCAGACCATGTTCTCCAGCAAACAAATTCCACTTCTTGTCTCAAAGTCAAGAATGAGCTAAGTTCTCACCAATGTCCACCACAAAGAAAACAAGAGTGGTTCCTGTGATCTCATTCACTGCTGCTATACATACAGTCATCCACAAGTTAAGGAAGGTGGAAGGAAGAGCAGGCTGGGATGAGACAAAGCAGAGAAGCATATGGATGTTATGGATAACCCTTCTGTTCCCTCAGATGCACTACAAAAACTAAAGCAGGGCTCCCAAGGGGAAAAGATATGGAAGTTCCTGTCTCAAATTTTACAGTGTAAGATAGATTAAAACTGAAACACACATGACAGTAGTATTGATCTTTGCCACACATCAACTCTCATATATCCTTTAATGGTACCCTTATAACATTTTCTTTCTGAGTTCTGTGGGTTTCTTATGTTACCCAATAGCATATTTGATATAATTCATTGCACACGACCCAAGGAGTTCCATAATTTTACTAGAGGCCACTGAAGATCAAGACATGTGAAATTCTGGTGAGAACTTGAATCAAGTTCTTTCTACAGGAATCCCCTCCACCCCACCCTGGCCCAACATTTTCAAAGGCGATTGAAGTCCGGGCCCAATTCAAGGTGTTGGTTATGACCTATGAAGCCCTAAACGGCTTGGGACCTGGATATCTAAAGGAACGCTTGCGCCCATATATGCCCTCCCGCCCCTTGAGATCGGCAACGGATGCCCTTCTCCGGGAACCCTCTGTGAATGATATTAGGAGGATGAGTACCCGCAGGAGGGCTTTCTCTGCGGAGGCGCCCCGCCTGGTGCCGTCGTTATTTGTTTTTCGGCGCCAGGCTAAGACCTTTTTATTTAAAACTTATTTTAATTGCTAAATTATTGTATTTATTAGGATTTTAAATTAGCCGAGAATACACCGGGGGGGGGGGTTAAATGTTTATATATATATATATATATATATATATATATATATATTTATTTATATATATAGTGAGCTACCCTGAGGCTTTGTTGCAATGGGGGCGGCATAGAAATGTTTTAAATAAATAAATAAATTTTAAAGTTTTTTATGTGTCTAGGATATTAAGGTTTTCTTCCTCAAGCTGAAAATCAAAGGCAGTAACTACTTCACCCCTTAAAATACCATCAGATCTCTTTTTAAGTATCAATTAGCTACATATTAATGCTGATATACTTCTCAGCTAATGACCTATACCCCATTTGACATGTTTAACTCAAGTATAACCACACTATACTTTCCAAATTATTTCTATATGCATCCCCTTTATGAACTTACCCTTTGCTACCACTGCTTTTTACTTTATCCTTGCAATGCATGCTAAACAGAAAGATATTCATTTGTGATATTTGTGTGTCTAGTCTTCCAGAAGTAACTTTCAATGTGGTTAATTTCCAAGTATGCAATTGAATGTAATTTACAGTTGCAGGCCTTATTTACTGTAACCCCCTATTTACTTTGATGAAGGCATCAATTTTACTCATAAAGTAATTGCTAGATCATTACTGCATTGAGTGCCCATTACAACGAAACATCAGCATCTACTTCATCATTTGCACTTTGAGAATCATGGATTTAGAAGTTTACTAGTAACACAATCCTGAACATATCTTCTCAGAATTCCTGCTGAGTTCAATGGTGCTTGCTCCCAAGTAAATGTGTACAGGATTGGAAGCTAATTTTTCTTTAAAGAAGATGCATCTTTACATTTAAACCCTAAGCAATCGCAATGGAATTGCATCCTATAATTTATTGTAAGCTGTCCTGAGATGTTTGTAGGGAACTGGATAGAAAAGCTTTTAATAAATAAAAATACATAAATATAATTGGTTCTGTTTTATAACACATGAATAAATTTGATATAGTGGAGCTTCAAATTTTTCTCCAGTTTTCAAAATATGAGAAACTTCTTGCCATGTTGTTTCCCATGTTCTCATCTGTCCAGAATGCTGTACAAAATATTTTCTTCATCAGTTGATAAAATGATTTCAATCCAGTGTTTCAATGACCCCAAGAAAAATACTGCAAAAAATTTGAATAAGCACTATCATCTTGTTTCTTGTTCAATTTCTTTCTTTCTTGCACTTAGTGGAGGATAAAAGCTGTTCAACATTAACCCAGTAATTAATTGGTTACTGAAATGGGAGAAGATAGACACATGGGGCCCTTGAAAAAGAGAGAGACAGAGAGACATAGAGACACATACTACTTGACCCTGGATAACACAGCAGCCTGGGTACAGTGCAGGTACTTATGCAAATGAGGTGGTACACAAATGGCACACACACCATGGAGAAAGTTCCACTCTGGCTACTCTTCCTTTCCTTGAACCCAGTCTTTGACTGTAGAATATTATTGATGCCAACTTTGCGCTATATACTGCCATTTCTTAATATGTTTGGGCCAGCCAGATGTGAAGGATCTCAATTCCCACACTGGTAGATTAGGGGGCACAGGAACCTGAATTATAAAGGCTACAGGCATGTTTATAAACACTTACACTATGCCAGGATATTGCACAAACTTATTTCATCTTGTGAGCTTGAAGTGAATCAGATATATATGAGACTAAGACTAACACTTGGTCCAGATAGCAGCATTACGTTTAAAAACTCATACATTCTCTGAAAATTCAGAGGTAGAACTATTCCGGAAAGCATGCTACATATAATTTAGTGCAACTGTAGGTGTTCTAAAGCTGAGTAAAATAAATGTGCAAAGAAAGAGAGGAAGCTAGCTTTACAGACTCTATCATCATTCTTGTTGCCTTCTACACATGGAGGGAGAGTTTCTGAAGGGAGGAGCCTTTTCTATCCAAAACTGATTTTCTAGTTGAGTGCTCAGGTAGAAGAAAGTGCATTAGTTTGCAGCTCTTCCCAATACTATCTTTACAATCCTGATTGTAACCAACTAAGACCATGATTCTACATATGCTTACCAGGGACTAAGAGCCATTATACTCAGTTTGGTCTATTTATTTGGTGCACAGGATTACATTTAAAGTGTTTATATTTTGAAGCTGTAATCACATGTAGAATTATCTGAGGATAAATGCCACGAAAGAGAGTGGTCATAGGATTCTTTTATACAAGCTACATTTGGAGAGCATTTGCCCTAAAGGGTGACCTTTTTTTTTTTTTTACATTAAATTGTATTTAAAGAATCAAGTACATTTTATATTTAAAGTTGCAGTAATTAATTGTAATTAAAACAGTAAAAAGTTCTCATTTGATAAGAAAGTATTACATATATTCAAGTTTTCCCAAGATTCCCATAGCCTACCCCAACACACACACTGTGATTTTTCCACTTCATCAAAATTTCCAAGTTGTATACACTTCTTAGATGGATTGGGATGAAAGAAAAAGACAAAGCAAAGAATGATGGAAAACAATATTAGAAGTAAGAGTCAAGTCTGAAAGTTTGACAACTGGTCTGGATTACACTCTGCTATTCATTTTATTCCACAGGACTCCAAAGTATTACTACTACTTCACATTGTATATGAAGCGTATTCCCTCCTTTCTAAAATAAAGTTCTTGTCACAAAGGATCTGATTTCCTATCTGGAAACCTTCAAAACTTTTGAAGTAGTACACTGCAGAAACAAATTGTGAGCCTGAAAAATGAACTAATGAAGCTTCAGCTTTCCTATCAAGTGAGTCAGTGTAACATTCAGAGCTTTTAAGCTCAAGTATACTAACAGAATAATCCTATACTTACTTTTCTGTGATTAAGTACTGTTGAACTCAATAGCACTTCTGAAAAGATGTGTATAGGAGAATGTGGTAACTTATTCTGGCTTTTGAAATCAGGATACCCTTTTATCCTCATAGTTTCAACATTTAAAACAAGTGATTCAGTATCGGTTAAGAAGGAAACTTCCCAGTGTGTGCTTAGGCAAACCATCCACTGATATGACTCATTTGTTGCCCTTCTGCCAATGTAAATAGCAAGGGAAACAGGATGAGACATCATTTCATACCCAGGTAACAACACTTTTGAATTATGTTCAAGAATTGATCACTGGCCACTTGCATAAAAAACTGGCAAGATATATTTCATTCGGCAAAATCTAGAAACTATACTTTGGACCAGTTTCCAATGTCTTCAAACACAACTTTGCATTCAACACTGCAGTGGTGTAATTTGGATAATACTAGAACATAGATATCAATGCCCAGATAGTCTGTAAAATAGATTGCAGTTAACACAAGCCTTGGTCAGATGCACTTCTTGCTACATCTCCCACCAGGGGTTCTAGAGAAGAGGCTAGACCAAAACCTGATCTTTTAAGTTTGGGAGAGGGGGCAAAAAGGGTAGATTGCCAGATTTTTAGGGCTTCAATTACCAGAAGTCCCTGGCAGCATGCCCAGTTTTGGGGAATGCTGTGAATTCATGTCAGAGTTATCTGCAGATCTACTCTTTACTCATTCCTGCTAAAAGAAACATGTAATGGGATCAGACAAGGATGAACAATGCTCAAGACAAATTAACTCTCACCAGATCTATCTCCATCTTGTCTGGATGGGCTTCTGTTCTTGGTACTCATTTAGACCATTACGGATTCCAGGCACTGATTCATGCTCTATTTCACCCAAATCTATTTTTTTAAAGAGTACAACTGGGTGTACCTCAATCAAGATATCCTCATTCTGGATTTTCAAGCATATTTGAAACAGCATGGTAAACAAAACAGTGCAACAGAAATAGCACGTGCTCTACAACAGAGCACCACCTTGTAAAACAAGCCATCTAAGTAAAGCAAGAGCATTAGAGCACGATGTCCAAGTGCCAGATACCCAGAAGTCCAAGAAACAGCAAGAAAATTACTAAGGGAAACCTTGATCAAAAACATTGGATTTTATTATCCTGACATACAAATGGAAAGTTTTGCATTTAGTGAGCTATTGTTCAAAAAGACAAAAATGTTTTGACTGATTAAAGTGATAAATAAAAAAGCACTACTCTGTATTACCATAGCTCATTCCTGATACTTGCAATCACATATCATCTAGGTCAACATTTTTTATAATGCTCCAGCACATATATATCCCATTTTTCTACCCATTTGCATTGATTTATATGCCATCACTGATATAATTCCAGATGAAATGTCCAGAGTATGTCCAAAACAGAAGGTCTTCTTATGGAGGCACCCTGACGTTAGAATGCCCTTATGGAGATATGCCTGGTACAGACACCATATTCCTTTCAGTGCCAGATTAAGCCCCTTTTTTCTTTTCAGTTAGGTGAAAAATGTTTATTCGTCCAATATTTTTGTTGCACCTCTTTTAAAACTATGTTTTAATATTGTGTTGATTCCAAGTGTTAATTAATAACACCCTGAAATCCATTCTGCATCTGGTTGCACTTATAAACAGCAAATCTAACCTCATAAGAAGATGGGAAACTAACATTGCACTCCCATTTTAAACAGGTAAATCCCATTAAGTTCAGTGGGAGTTTATTTCCAGGTGTCAACATCAGGGAGTTAGAACTTCAGTTAAAGAGGTAAACAGTC